TATGAATTTAATTATACATAAATATTTAAAAACATAAATAAAAATATATTTAAAGAAGAAAATAACAAAAAAAAACCCAAAACTTATTAATGGTGAATTAACCAGTAAACAAAATACAAAACATAAAAAATAATAATAATAATGAAGGAAAAATAAAAATAAAACAAATGTTTATGGAGAATTCATTTCAAAAGCCAAGTGAATAAGAGATAATGACAAAAACAACAACAACAAAACAAAAAAACATATAAAATTAAAAATTCAATAAAAATTTAAAATACAAAACACCAAAAATTCTTTGTTTTTTTATAGTTCTCGAACGGCCATCGATAGATTCAAAATATTTGGGGAACCATCATAAAACGAACAAAGATTTTTTCAGCTGGGTAAAATTTTAAATTGAACATGAAAAACGTGTCCAGCTGAGGAAATTTTAACTACCAGCGCACGACATCACAAGACAAATCGAGTCCATCTAGCAAATTTTTTTTTAGCTACTATCAGCCAGCTCACGAGACCTATCAACCCAAGCGAGCATATCTATCTTCATCTATTATCTATCTATCTATCTATCTATCTATCTATCTATCTATCTATCTATCTATCTATCTATCTATCTATCTATCTATCTATCTATCTATCTATCTATCTATCTATCTATCTATCTATCTATCTATCTATCTATCTATCTATCTATCTATCTATCTATCTATCTATCTATCTATCTATCTATCTATCTATCTATCTATCTATCTATCTATCTATCTATCTATCTATCTATCTATCTATCTATCTATCTATCTATCTATCTATCTATCTATCTATCTATCTATCTATCTATATATCTATCTATCTATCTATCTATCTATCTATCTATCTATCTATCTATCTATCTATCTATCTATCTATCTATCTATCTATCTATCTATCTATCTAGCTATTTATCTATCAATCTATCTATCTATCTATCTATCTATCTATCTATCTATCTATCTATCTATCTATCTATCTATCTATCTATCTATCTATATATAAAATTCTAACGTTACTGACTGATTCATCAGCTAAACGGTTGTAGCTAAAGAGCTGAAATTTGGACAGGAGGTTGGTCTCCCACCAAATAGATGCACTAAGACGGGATTTTTGGAAATTCGAATGTTTAATGGGTAAATTCAGCAACCCCATATCTCCTAAATAAGAAAAGATACAAAAACAGTTTAAAGCTTATCGTCGTTCATTAAAGCAGTAAGCGGACAGCTGTCTGGTACTTTTTTTCAAATTCGGCCCCTTTAGGGAATAAGCGGGTAAAAGCTGTATCTTTAAAACTCGTTCATAACTTAACGAAAAAATAAAAATATGAATTGAGTACTTTTGGATATTCGGACGTTTAAGGGATGAAAATTGTACCCATTTTTGATAAATTTTTCATAAAACATTGTTTTAGGTTTATTAACTTATATATCGTCACCTGAAATACAAAAAGGCGTAACAACCAAAAAAATTAAAATCGACTTTTTGATTGAAAATGGTCTACGGCATCAAAATAAATGTTGTAGGAAATTTTAAGAACTCTATTGTCAAAAACAACGACTTTATGAACATGAAATTCGAAAGGACGTCCCAACAAATTAGTAATTTCCACAAGTCAGAAAGTCCTAAAAAGCAACATATAGACAATGTCTGGCGGTGCAGTTATATTCAAACATGTTTATCAATGTTGGGATACAATACTTGTAAGAAAATATTACTTTTATTTAATTTTATTTAGTTTTAAAGTGTTGTTACGCCGTTTTGCATTTCAGGTGACGATATATGTATGTATTATGTACGATGAATACATCTCACTACGATATTGGAACTTTTTGGAATACAATTTTTATTTCCGAAAGGGGGTAAAAACGGAAAATTAGATTTTATTCAAACACAATGAGTCAATTTAGATAAAATTTTTAGATTTAGAAACACTAAATATGCTAATAGGATGCTATTTACTTTACTTTTTGAGTTTTCTATGATATTAAAATCGAAACGTGAAGATAATAATAAAGAGACTTTTAGATACTTTTTCGTTTTTCACTGGTACTTTTTTGAGTTTTCTTTAAAATTAAACCTAGGAACATGAAATTAAGCATGTAGGGCCCGGAGTAAATGAGAACTTATAAAATGGGATTTTTTTTGGTACTTTTTCGATCTTCAAAAGGTATTTTTTGAATTCTGTGTGATATTGAACCTAGAAACATGAAATTAAGCATATAGAACCCGGTTTAATTAAGAACATATAAACGGGGACTTTTTGTTATTTTATTCATGATAATAAATTGTGTATTTGTAGTAAATTCACTAATATATATACATATTTTAAAATTTTTAGTTGTAATATACATATGTATATTTGTTTGATGTAGAGACATTTTGGGCTTGTGGGATTTTCTTTATTTACGGTATATATTAAAAAGACCAGTCTGGCAACATATACATTTTTGACATAAGTATACAACTTTTGTTGTTTTTGTAGAATTGGAGAACAATAAGAAAAACAAAACACTGCACGTGTGGCGCTTGATAATTTAGTAATTGTAACTTTAAAAAATCGAATATAAAATTAAATATTAATTAAAAGTTTTAATACTATAACTATAAAAGATGTCTGCCAATATAGAAATTATAATTGGCACTTATGAAGAGTTTCTATTGGGCTACAAATTTGATATAAAAGTAAGTTACTATGAGTTTTTCATGCAATGATATTTTCTACAAATATTTTGTTTTGTGTTCTAGAATGAGAAACCCACATTAACCCAATCATTTGCTGATAAATCCCATTCGGGTTCTATAAGAAGTGTAGCGGTACAAGAACGTTGGGTGGCCAGTGGTGGTACAGATGATCGGATTTTTATTTACGACATGAGCACCAGAAAACAGTCACAGGTATTTTCTGACAACAACAATAAAATCCTTAAAGTGATTGTTAACATTTTGCTTATTTCAGATTTTACTATCCCATGAAGGCACTGTTAACGCTCTTGCTTTTACCCCAGATGGCACGCATTTATTGACGGGCGGTGAAGATGGACGTATGATTGCTACCCGCCTAAAAACTTGGTTTGTCGACGCAACCTGGAAAAAGGCCCATAATGGAGCAGCTGTTACCCATATCAGTTGTCATCCCAGTGGCAAGTTGGCTTTATCGTTGGGCTCAGATTTGGTCTTAAGAACCTGGAATTTAGTTAAAGGTCGTGTGGCCTATAAAACAAATTTGAAAAGTCGCAATACATTGGGTGCTCAGCCCGACTGTTTGGCTTGGTCACCTACGGGTGACTACTTCACCATAACTGGTCAACGTATTATTGAATTTTGGTCCATAAAAACTGCAGATGTTGTACGTTCTCATAAGACTAAATCAAAGCCTATATGTCTGACCTGGATAACAGATGATTCGTGTCTTGTGGGTCTAGAAGATGGAAAAATCTTGTGGCTTTCAACCGACAGTGAGGAGGAAAAGGTAATGGAGATTTGTTTTTAAGATTTTTCAATATTTCATTTTTATATTTTTATCTTTATTTCCAGGAAATTGTTGCTCATAATGCAAGAGTTAAGGCAATGTGTGTTTTTAAACAGAATCTTGTGAGTGCATCAAGGTAGGTTTATTTTTTTTGATTATTAAGCAAAACCGAATACTAAAAATTTTCATTAATCCATTTATCTGCAAACATGATCATCGGTCCAATATTTTAAGATATTTTATTTTATTCAACTGATAGTACAAAACAGTTTGTACTCTTTTTGTTTTAAAGTTATGAACAGTCCCATAAAGTACTTCCAAAAAGTTTAATATAGTTGATTAAACAAGGAATTTAGTACAGTTTTTGACTTAAAGTTAACAATAATTACAAAATTAACTATAATTACAAACTAATTTCAATTCAAATTTATAAGCATTGCATTTTTCACTTTATATTTCTTTGAATTCATTTAAAAGCTTTAGATCCGTAAAGTTAAAGAACATCTAAACGCTTTATTAAACACGTAAAGATCTATTGTAGGGATTATTAACTAAAGAAACTTGCAATTTAAAGCTGCTGATGATTTTCATTTGTTCATTTTTTATATGAAAGTTCAAAAATACGTTTTAAAAAAAATCTTAAACAAATATTCTAGTTCCGGTGAAATTAAACTATGGCAAATAAACGCAAACAACCAAAAACTTAAAGAGCTGGCAACAACAAATATCGGCTGCCGTCCTACCTGTATAAGTATATTAGATTTGGAACAATTTGGAGCAAATTACGTGATAAGCAGTACATTAGGAGCCAAAGACAACGATATAAAACCAACAACCTCTAAACCAAAAGCGCCACAACGTGGTATTGTTACTATCGAATATGATAACGAAGATGAGGAGGAAGAAGATGCTGATAGTAACAATGAAGAAGCTGAAGATACAGAGAATGAGGCAGATAGTGTAGCAGAAGAAGATGAAGAAGGCGCAGATAATAAAGATGATGGAATAGAAGAAGATGATGACGATGAAGAAGAAGATGACGAGGATGACGACGATGATGATGAAGATAGTGAGGATAGTGATGACAGTAATCCTGAGCCTGAAATACGTTTACCAAAATCCCGTAAACATAAATTGCAAATTGTCAAAAGAAAAGAGGATGAAAAGAAGAAACTAAAACTGGATAATCAGAATAAACAGCAAGTTATGAAACAAAAACAACAGCAGCAGTCGCAACAAAAGAAAAGCAAGCAAAAATTTAAAAAATAATTACAACTACATAGACAATTATGTAGATTTTACAATAAAATGTTAATGATATCCTATTAAGTTTTTTTTAATACATACAGCTAATTGCTGCATAAAATAAAATGAACACGTTTCAAATGTCCACCATGTTTATAACATTTTTTACCAATTTTTTTCTAAAAATTAAAATTCCACCTTTTAAGGGTTAATGATCTTTCTGACATTTCTCTTTTACGTTTTATATAACGCCAGATTAGGTTGTAAACCATTGGAAATTTACAGTTACAGTTTTGACATTTACTTTATTTCTTCGTTTGTTCATTAGTTTTCACACTTCTCTAGAAATGGAAATAAAAAGCTAAAAACTATTTTAACAAAATGACTGCATTATTTTTTAAATTAATTTTAATTGGAATTTTAATTATACCAAAATCATTAACCAACGACATAAATATAAAAATTGTAAAACCAATTTCAAAACCAACTGCAAAACCTGTGGATAAATTTAAAGGTAAGCATTTCATTTCAATAAAAAAATAGAATAAAATGAAAAAAATTATCTTTATTTAGTGCTTTTTCTTGAAGCCAATACAACTTTCAATTTTAAGCCCTCCAAACGTGGTTTCTTCGAAAAACATTTAAACACCTACTGCTATAAAGGCGAACCGAAAACATTGGGACGCCTTTTAGAGACTATTGAACTACAATTGGAAATTGAAGGCGATGATTATACTCAATATGAAGGTACAACACCATCAGAAGTGGAAGAACACTATTCGGAACATCGTTCTATTTTCAGTTTGAATTTATTTTCGCAAAAACGTTCTCGCGTCTCGTTATCACCATTTATGCAACAGTGCATTGGCATAGAGACCGTTCAGCCCTATAATGTTACTTTGTATCAGGAAAAAATTGACTATTATCGCACCGTTCAGCTAATGAGTGGCATTATCATGTTCCTGTTTGCTGGTGTTTTAAGTGCAAATTCATTGTTTTACTACATTACTGGCATATTGTTTGGCATATGTTCATCATTTCTATTCCTTATATGGTTGTCGGGAAAATTGATGCCCAAGTAAGTAAACAATTATGTTTTCTTATCATTTATTACGATGTTGTGATGAAAGCTTAGAAATAATGAATTCTGTTTTTAGAATTATTTCAACTAAATCATAAATCCAGTTTGAAGACTTCCTAAAATGGATTTGTATGCTTTTTTGCTTTATGTAAAAATTCAAAAATACTAAAATCGTTAATAATTTCCTAAATAAGCGTTTATTTGAGACTGATTTTAGTATTAAAAGCCAAAGACACTAAACGTCTACCTGAGTAATCAAGCTTGATTTGTGATCACTCATATTTCAGACCAAAAATCGATTATTAGTATAAAAACTCAAAGAATCTAAAATCGTTAATAACTTCGTAAATAAGCGTTTATTTGGGAAAATAAGCTTGATTTGTGATCACACATATTTCAGACCAAAAATCGATTTTTAGTATAAAAACTCAAAGAAACTAAAATCGTTAATAACTTCGTAAATAAGCGTTTATTTGAGAAAATAAGCTTGATTTGTGATCACTCATATCTCAGACCAAAAATCGATTTTTAGTATAAAAACACAAAGAATCTAAAATCGTTAATAACTTCGTAAATAAACGTTTATTTGAGAAAATAAGCATGATTTGTGATCACTCATATTTCAGACCAAAAATCGATTTTTAGTATAAAAACTCAAAGAAACTAAAATCGTTAATAACTTCGTAAATAAGCGTTTATTTGAGAAAATAAGCTTGATTTGTGATCACTCATTATTCAGACCAAAAATCGATTTTTAGTATAAAAACTCAAAGAAACTAAAATCGTTAATAACTTCGTAAATAAGCGTTTATTTGAGAAAATAAGCTTGATTTGTGATCACTCATTATTCAGACCAAAAATCAATTTTTAGTACAAAAACTCAAGGAAACTAAAATCGTTAATAACTTCGTAAATAAGCGTTTATTTGAGAAAATAAGCTTGATTTGTGATCACTCATATTTCAGACCAAAAATCGATTTTTTGTATAAAAACTCAAAGAAACTAAAATCGTTAATAACTTCGTAAATAAGCGTTTATTTGAGAAAATAAGCTTGATTTGTGATCACTCATTATTCAGACCAAAAATCGATTTTTAGTATAAAAACTCAAAGAAACTAAAATCGTTAATAACTTCGTAAATAAGCGTTTATTTGAGAAAATAAGCTTGATTTTTAGTACAAAAACTCAAGGAAACTAAAATCGTTAATAACTTCGTAAATAAGCGTTTATTTGAGAAAATAAGCTTGATTTGTGATCACCCATATTTCAGACCAAAAATCGATTTTTAGTATAAAAACTCAAATAAACTAAAATCGTTAATAACTTCGTAAATAAGCGTTTATTTGAGAAAATAAGCTTGATTTGTGATCACTCATTATTCAGACCAAAAATAAATTTTTAGTACAAAAACTCAAAGAAATTAATATCGTTAATAAGAAAGAAAGAAATTAAATTCGTAAGTAAGCGTTTATTTAAAAAAATAAGCTTGATTTGTGACCACTCATATTTCGGACAAAAAATCGAATTTTGGTATAAAAACTCAAAGAAACTAAAATCGTTAATAACTTCGTAAATAAGCGTTTATTTGAGAAAATAAGCTTGATTTGTGATCACTCATATTTCAGACCAAAAATCGATTTTTGGTATAAAAACTCAAAGAAACTAAAATCGTTAATAACTTCGTAAATAAGCGTTTATTTGAGAAAATAAGCTTGATTTGTGATCACTCATTATTCAGACCAAAAATCGATTTTTTGTATAAAAACTCAAAGAATCTAAAATCGTTAATAACTTCGTAAATAAGCGTTTATTTGAGAAAATAAGCTTGATTTGTGATCACTGATATTTTTTAACCAAAAATCATTTTTTAGTACAAAAACTCAAAGAAACTAAAATCGTTAATAACTTCGTAAATAAGCGTTTATTTGAGAAAATAAGCTTGATTTGTGATCACTAATATTTTTTAATCAATTTTTAGTACAAAAACTCAAAGAAACTAAAATCGTTAATAACTTCGTAAATAAGCGTTTATTTGAAAAAATAAGCTTGATTTGTGATCACTCATTATTCAGACCAAAAATCGATTTTTAGTATAAAAACTCAAAGAAACTAAAATCGTAAATAACTTCGTAAATAAGCGTTTATTTGAGAAAATAAGCTTGATTTGTGATCACTCATTATTCAGACCAAAAATCGATTTTTAGTATAAAAACTCAAAGAAACTAAAATCGTTAATAACTTCGTAAATAAGCGTTTATTTGAGAAAATAAGCTTGATTTGTGATCACTCATATTTCAGACTAAAAATCGATTTTTAATTTAAAAACTCAATGAAACTAAAATCGTTAATAACTTCGTAAATAAGCGTTTATTTGAAAAAATAAGCTTGATTTGTGATCACTCATTATTCAGACCAAAAATCGATTTTTAATTTAAAAACTCAAAGAAACTAAAATCGTTAATAACTTCGTAAATAAGCGTTTATTTGAGAAAATAAGCTTGATTTGTGATCACTCATTATTCAGAGCAAAAATCGATTTTTGCTATAAAAACTCAAAGAAACTAAAATCGTTAATAACTTCGTAAATAAACGTTTATTTGAGAAAATAAGCTTGATTTGTGATCACTCATTATTCAGACCAAAAATCGATTTTTGCTATAAAAACTCAAACTAAAATCGTTAATAACTTCGTAAATAAACGTTTATTTGAGAAAATAAGCTTGATTTGTGATCACTCATATTTCAGACCAAAAATCGATTTTTAGTATAAAAACTCAAAGAAACTAAAATCGTTAATAACTTCGTAAATAAGCGTTTATTTGAGAAAATAAGCTTGATTTGTGATCTTTCATTATTCAGACCAAAAATCAATTTTTAATATAAAAACTCAAAGAAACTAAAATCGTTAATAACTTCGTAAATAAGCGTTTATTTGAGAAAATAAGCTTGATTTGTGATCACTCATATTTCAGACCAAAAATCGATTTTTGGTTTAAAAACTCAAAGAAACTAAAATCGTTAATAACTTCGTAAATAAACGTTTATTTGAGAAAATAAGCTTGATTTGTGATCACTGATATATTTTAACCAAAAATCAATTTTTAGTACAAAAACTCAAAAAAACTAAAATCGTTAATAACTTCGTAAATAAGCGTTTATTTGAGAAAATAAGCTTGATTTGTGATCACTCATATTTCAGACCAAAAATCGATTTTTAGTATAAAAACTCAAAGAAACTAAAATCGTTAATAACTTCGTAAATAAGCGTTTATTTGAGAAAATAAGCTTGATTTGTGATCACTCATTATTCAAACCAAAAATCGATTTTTAATTTAAAAACTCAAAGAAACTAAAATCGTTAATAACTTCGTAAATAAGCGTTTATTTGAGAAAATAAGCTTGATTTGTGATCACTCATATTTCAGACCAAAAATCGATTTTTAGTATAAAAACTCAAAGAAACTAAAATCGTTAATAACTTCGTAAATAAGCGTTTATTTGAGAAAATAAGCTTGATTTGTGATCTTTCATTATTCAGACCAAAAATCAATTTTTAATATAAAAACTCAAAGAAACTAAAATCGTTAATAACTTCGTAAATAAGCGTTTATTTGAGAAAATAAGCTTGATTTGTGATCACTCATATTTCAGACCAAAAATCGATTTTTGGTATAAAAACTCAAAGAAACTAAAATCGTTAATAACTTCGTAAATAAGCGTTTATTTGAGAAAATAAGCTTGATTTGTGATCACTCATTATTCAGACCAAAAATCGATTTTTAATTTAAAAACTCAAAGAAACTAAAATCGTTAATAACTTCGTAAATAAGCGTTTATTTGAGAAAATAAGCTTGATTTGTGATCACTCATATTTCAGACCAAAAATCGATTTTTAGTATAAAAACTCAAAGAAACTAAAATCGTTAATAACTTCGTAAATAAGCGTTTATTTGAGAAAATAAGCTTGATTTGTGATCACTCATTATTCAGACCAAAAATCGATTTTTAATTTAAAAACTCAAAGAAACTAAAATCGTTAATAACTTCGTAAATAAGCGTTTATTTGAGAAAATAAGCTTGATTTGTGATCACTCATATTTCAGACCAAAAATCGATTTTTAGTATAAAAACTCAAAGAAACTAAAATCGTTAATAACTTCGTAAATAAGCGTTTATTTGAGAAAATAAGCTTGATTTGTGATCTTTCATTATTCAGACCAAAAATCAATTTTTAATATAAAAACTCAAAGAAACTAAAATCGTTAATAACTTCGTAAATAAGCGTTTATTTGAGAAAATAAGCTTGATTTGTGATCACTCATTATTCAGACCAAAAATCGATTTTTAGTACAAAAACTCAAAGAAACTAAAATCGTTAATAACTTCGTAAATAAGCGTTTATTTGAGAAAATAAGCTTGATTTGTGATCACTCATATTTCAGACCAAAAATCGATTTTTAGTATAAAAACTCAAAGAAACTAAAATCGTTAATAACTTCGTAAATAAGCGTTTATTTGAGAAAATAAGCTTGATTTGTGATCTTTCATTATTCAGACCAAAAATCGATTTTTAGTATAAAAACTCAAAGAAACTAAAATCGTTAATAACTTCGTAAATAAGCGTTTATTTGAGAAAATAAGCTTGATTTGTGATCACTCATTATTCAGACCAAAAATCGATTTTTAATTTAAAAACTCAAAGAAACTAAAATCGTTAATAACTTCGTAAATAAGCGTTTATTTGAGAAAATAAGCTTGATTTGTGATCACTCATATTTCAGACCAAAAATCGATTTTTAGTATAAAAACTCAAAGAAACTAAAAGCGTTAATAACTTCGTAAATAAGCGTTTATTTGAGAAAATAAGCTTGATTTGTGATCTTTCATTATTCAGACCAAAAATCAATTTTTAATATAAAAACTCAAAGAAACTAAAATCGTTAATAACTTCGTAAATAAGCGTTTATTTGAGAAAATAAGCTTGATTTGTGATCACTCATTATTCAGACCAAAAATCGATTTTTAATTTAAAAACTCAAAGAAACTAAAATCGTTAATAACTTCGTAAATAAGCGTTTATTTGAGAAAATAAGCTTGATTTGTGATCACTCATATTTCAGACCAAAAATCGATTTTTAGTATAAAAACTCAAAGAAACTAAAATCGTTAATAACTTCGTAAATAAGCGTTTATTTGAGAAAATAAGCTTGATTTGTGATCTTTCATTATTCAGACCAAAAATCAATTTTTAATATAAAAACTCAAAGAAACTAAAATCGTTAATAACTTCGTAAATAAGCGTTTATTTGAGAAAATAAGCTTGATTTGTGATCACTCATATTTCAGACCAAAAATCGATTTTTGGTATAAAAACTCAAAGAAACTAAAATCGTTAATAACTTCGTAAATAAGCGTTTATTTGAGAAAATAAGCTTGATTTGTGATCACTCATTATTCAGACCAAAAATCGATTTTTAGTACAAAAACTCAAAGAAACTAAAATCGTTAATAACTTCGTAAATAAGTCTTTATTTGAGAAAAAAAGCTTGATTTGTGTTCATTCATATTTTTGACCAAAAATCGATTTTTAGTATGAAACTAAAAGAAAACTAAAGAAACTAAAATCGTTAATAACTTCTTATATAAGCGTTAGTTTGAGAAAATAATCTTGATTTGTAATCACTCACTCATGTAATCAATCATGATAAAACTAAATTCGTAAATAAGCGCTTTTTGGAGAAAATAAATAATCGACATCTAACGAATGCATTCTTACTTCTATTCACCATTTCAGGCGTACAATGATGTATGGCGTTTTAATAGGCGGCTGGACCGTTGGTTTCTATGTCATACGTATGCTGTGGGACAATATACAAATGATCATGTTGACATATCGTAACTACGTATGCTGGTACATTATAGTTACCGGCATTATATCATTCTTTTTCTGTTATCGCTGGGGTCCACCGCAGAATAGACGTTCGAAAAATATTATAAAATGGTTACTGCAGCTCATGTCTTTGGCAATGATTTATTTGTCTAGTAATTTTAAAGAAGCCACCATAGCTATCATACTGATGACCGTTACATTGTATTATTTTCCTCGAATTTTAAAAAGAATCATGAGTTTGAGAACTAAAACATCCAAGGAATATTTAAACGAGAAAAATGTCTATGGAAGTGGTGGTAGCGGTGGTACTAGAGATCTAAGAGATGATTGTCAGCAATGGCGGGTTAATAGTCCCCAGTATAAAGATTGGAAGGTAAGAAAAAATCTCTAAAAATGTAAATTATTGGACACATATGTTTTATTTTATATTTGACACAGATTAAACCTAAATCTCGCACTTCATTAAGTGGAGTGGAGCAGCGTCGAACACCCACACAACAACCAATTATCAAAACAAACATAAATAACTCCGGCTCTAAGCAAAACCTAGAAGATTTTCCATCTGGTTTAGAGAACGTAAATTTGGAAGGACATGATTTGACAACTCACAGTCTTTATCCCCTACCCGATGGTTCATTTATATTGAGTGAAAAGACACCGATTATTATAACACCACGTCTTGCCACACCCATATATCATCGTTCTACACCAGCCTTCTCAAATGATGAAGACGAAGATGAGGCTGAAGGTGATTATACACCAAAAAATCATCATACTCATGTACCTCTTCCAGCTCATTATCGTCGTTTAAGTGCTGCTGCCTCGACTTCAGATCTTTTGTTATCTGCAGGGCGTCGTCGTGCTACACCCTCTCCATCCCAGCTGCAGCGATCCTCCAGTGTTCAACGTGTTCAGTCTCGTTCGGCTCGTATGATATCGTCGGCTAGAAAACATCATGCCAGTAATCCCAAGATTAAAATCGATAATCCTACAAGTGATGATGATTGATGAGAAGTGTTTTGTTTTATTTAAATTGATTTTTTTAACTTGTGCAACTAACTGATTTAATAGGTAATTTAACTTAACCGAAAATACGTTTCTAACCGATATTGTTAATATTCAAGCTTATTCTACTTGTTTTATAAACAATCACAAAACTATGTTAAATGCATTTTTGAACGGACTTGATGTTTATAATAGTGGTATTGTTTAAAAATCTCCATTCCTTGCTGCTTTATAAAAGTTATGATTTCATTTCCAACTAGTGGTAAAAAATATAAGAAAAATAATCCTAAAAACATCATTATTTATGAGGCGGCAATGTTACAAACATTAAAAAAGGTAAGCATAAGTGAAAACTTTTTCAAATTGAATTTTCTCCTAAATGAAATAATTATTTATAGTACATTATGGTTGCATTCGATGCTCCCTTTTCTTAGCTTTAAAATGAGCTATATTTCGTTCCGATCCCCTTAGTAGTTTTCGAGTTATAAGCATATAAACAATCCCGGAAAAAGCATAATTTTTCAAAATTTGGCAACCCTGTTTAAGTGTCCTGTCAGCGCCATCTATTGTTTTCGTATTTTCAGTTTTGAAAATCAAAAATACGAAAACAATAGATGGCGCTATTTTGACACTAAAAAGGTATTGCCATCGCGCAGCTGAATTTTAACAGCATTGCCAGACCAAAAACCCAGAAATCCGTTAAATTCAAATGCTTTAAGCGAAAAAAAACAACTAAAAAGCGATTTTTTTCAGTTACTTAAAAACAAATATAACTTTATTTGATGATATTTGATATTTTTGTATTAAATTTGATTGACTCAAAGAGTTTAAAACTTAACAAACTAGATTAATTTAAAAGTTCTTTGCTATTTGTTACAAACTTGTTGAACAGTTTTTTTTCAAATGAGATATTAAAGAAATAGAGAATTTAACAAAAAGAAATAATAAAGTTAACCTTAAGACTACAACAATAATAATTGTTTATAACAATAATATGAGAAAATAAGGCTTTTTTAGGTTTGTATAGTTAAAAAATTATAATCATTATAACAATTTAGATTTTTACTTATAGTTCTACTATTTAGTTTAATATACAAGAAGTTTAGAAACCAATAACTTAATGTTGACTAAGATAACAAATTTAACATTTTTTTCTTCAACTTAGGCAGCATGAGAGAACCAACTAAATAAAGAATTAAAAACAAATGCCTTTTTACAAATAATAATTAAACAGTTGAGTTTTTTAAACAAATTAAAAGTTTGAAATTTAAATAAAACTTTGGATAATGTAATATTGTTCTTTTTGTGATGTTAAGAAACGGGTTTCAATGCAGTTTTTTAAATTCTATAAAAATTATTGTTTTGAATTAAAATATAGATTTTAGCTTGATTTAAGTTTGAGAAAAACTTGCAGGTGGGTTACTCCGTACTACGATACAAAACAAATATTTTGTTCTAAATCATTTTACAGAGTAAACTCCCCGGAAGTTGCTCAATATTTTTTCCTTACAAATTCAATTTCTATTACATCTGACAACTCGTTTCTTTCAATTACTTATTAAAACAAAATTAAAAAGAAACGTTTGAAAAAAGGAGAAATTAACAAATTATTGCACATTCTATAAATGTAAATAAAATTATGATATTAAATTAGTTAACACACATATTTAACTAGAATTAGAATTAAATAAATATCAATATTATTATAAAATAACCATCATAAAATCATATTAAAAATGTACAAGTAAAAAAACTTGCACTATAAATATGAATGTATGTATGATTGTTAGATATAGTTTTAATTTTAAAACACATTAATGCTTTAGTTCAGTGCGATTGGCAGCTACTTCGGCCAGTATGAGTAAATCTGAGGTAGACGACGATATATTGTCATTTAAAGTGTTGTTGTTGTTGTTGTTACTAGTGTTAATATTATTACAAATATCAACAGATACTGATGATGAAGAGTTGTTGTTGAATTGTTGTAAAGGAATGATTGGTGATGTTGAAACATTAAGTGATTGTTGTACAGTTGTGTTGTCTTTATCCATTGCTTTTATGTATTTCATGGTTGTGGGCGCTTCTTGAAAATAACAACAACCATTTATAGTTAAAGGTAACAATGAGGCTACTTCTTGTTCTATGGCCGAAACATCACGGCGTGTTATGCTTTCCTTACGAGCCTTACGTTTTTGACTGCCCACTGCAGCAGTGGCAGTTTGTTGTTGTTGTTTGGCGTTTTGATTAGCAGCAGCAGTTTGTGTTGTCTTCATTTCATTGTTAGTGTTAGCACGTTGTCCTCTTTTTTTACCATTGGTAGAAAATTTCTTTTTCTTTTTTGTATTGCGTTTGCGTTGCAAATAATCATCCAAATTTAAAGCGGGTAATTCTTTGATTCTTTCCTCTAAATCAAAACCACTCAAATCATATGACAACATATTTTCCGTTTCGGATATAGAACGTTTTTGGCAGACAATGTTATCATTATTGTTATTTAGAGAACTATTGCAACTATTTACATTTGCGAAACTTTGCTTAACAATCATTTCAGCATTATCACCTCCACCACCAGCTAAACGCATTGAGGACTTTGATTTCTTTACTGCCGTAGCTATTTGTCCAGAATTTATTAATTCTTGATATCTCTTACCCTTACAAGATCTTGCGCTTTTCTTTTTGGGTTCTAAGTTATCATCTTCACTACTATTACTCGAAAAACTGTTCTCATTGTGAAAACGCCTTTTCAAGGGATTGTCTTCAAGGCCATCAGTATTACCTGTTATGTGAGCACTCATAAATTGTGATGTTTCGCCTAAAGCTTGTTGTAAATCAGCAGATTTTTTGGTGTTATTGCCCTTTGATTTATCTTGCATTAATTGACTTAAATCACCCATTTGTGCTTCGTCGGCTAGTTTAAAGTAGTTACCATGATTGCTGCTGTTACAGCTACGTGTATTATTGCTTATAATTTCGAGAGCATTATTATTGGCGGCTTCGTTGTTATCTTCTTGATACTCTTGACCAAACGCATTGGTTGGACGTGTTGTTAGAGTACGTAGAGGTGGTGCTGGTAGTTTGTACCATTTAAAATTGGGATTTGCTGAAAAGAAGGCATCTTTGTTCTGGAAAGAACAGAAATATAACATGTATTAGAGTTTGAATAAATTTAATAAATTTTAGTAAATTTACTTGTTGAGCTAGATTTGTAAAGCACTTTTTATCATTTGCATCCAATGAGGCCCACCAGTCTCCTAATATTTTGGTTATTGCTCTAAAAGTAAATTTAAGAAGAATATAGAAATAATCAAATAAAATTTAAAGTTTTTTAGAATATTTTTAATTTCCTAACTTACCTATTTTCCAAGTTTTTATAACGCTCCTTAACAATAGCACGATGACGTTTACAAAATATTAAAAACGCATTCATAGGACGACGAGCATGATGATCAGGTTTAGCACAGTCAGCGACAGCAGCTGATTCCTCACCCAAGCTATTAACTCTAGTTGAAGAAGTATTTGTGCCCACAACAGATAGATTGGGCGACGACTGGGATTCTACAGTTTCAACATCAACATCTATGTGAACATCCTCATCTTCATTATTAACATTCTTTTTATTGTCATTTTTCTTAACAGTATCACGAATTTTATGGTCTTTTAAAACGTTTACAAAATTAGTAGAATTTCCTACTCTTATATTGCACAATCTATTATTTCTAGATGTTAGAGCACCATCAGATGAAGTGGACAATTTTTGTAATCTTTTATATCTTCTTCTATTGAAAATATCTTCATAGTCAGCAGCATCATCTAAATCATGGGGAAATTCCTCAATATTTGTTTCATCATCATTACCATATACTGCATCAATATCGTCATCATCATTATCTTCTTCATCATCATCTTCGTCGTCTTCATCATCGTCCAAATAACTGCTATGACGACTACCATTAGGTGACTTATTGTCTTCATCGTCATCTTCATAGGACTTTGATTTAGCATAATTATGGACACTTTCAATATGACGATAAGCATTATTTTGATCTTCCGTACGTTGGGTATTATTGTTGGGCGATGTTTGTGTTTCAGTTGCTGTCATTACAACCATTGTTGTTGTTGGCGATGAAGATTGTTTATTTATAAGGCCATATTTATTATTAGTAAATTGTTTGCAATAGAATTGATAGTTATTATTACTACCAACGATACTTGTTGAATTTATATTATTATTGCCACAAATACTATTATTATTATTATTGTTGTTATTGTAACATATCTTATTATTTATTTCTAAATTAAAGGCACTTTTATTTTGTATATTATTTTGTGTTTGTGTTGTTGGGGATAAATGTTCAACATTTACAACATCTATTTCATTATCGTTATCTTTCTTAACACCTGAGGATGATGTGGCGGAGGAGGCACTTATATTGTTGTATAAGGTACGAAAATTATTCCAACATTTATTATTTTGTAATTTTGTATGATTTTCTAAATGTTGTACTCTAACACGTTCCTGGTGTTTAATATCATCATTAAATGATAGTTGTTGTTGCTTTTCTGGTTGATGATGATGACCACTAATTGTTACAAATGTTCTCGTTTGCGAAAGCGAAGAAGTTGGAAGTAATTTTGTGGTAGTAGTTGTATTAAATTTGTCCATTGTTATTAACTTTGGTTTTAAAAATTCCAAAGCGTTGACACTGTTAATCATTTTTGTATAGTTTTTTTTGTTGTGGTTGTAAAATCAAATGTTTAATTTAAAACATTACAAACTGAAAAATAGAAGGAAGAAAATAATATTATAAATTGAAATTTGTTAAAATTAATTTTCAAAATTTTTTTTTACAATTTTTTTCAAATACTGTTAATTTCACAGCTGAAAAGATCCTTAAATTTCTTTCAATATAACTTCTTTGCATATGGCAACACTTAATTTAGTAAAAGCTTCCAAAAATAAAGAAATTCACAATAAAATTGTTTACAAAACAAACGATTTTGTTATTTTAACTCAAAACAACTACATACAAGTGTTGATATAAAAGAAATTCGAAAAAAAAAACACACACACACAAACTCTTAAGAATTGAGCAGAAATTGCAGGTGTAAGTAGAAGACAATAAATAATAAAGGAAAGCAACGAAAAAAAATTGCATATTAATAAATAAATGGGATCACTCTCTCTTTCACAAAAGGAATTTTATTTATCATTTGAATATTAAATTATAATAATTAGGTACATTTTTGTTTTAAATAACGATTTTCACATCCATACCAATTTTCAAACACAGTTTAATTTATGGTTTTTGGTTAAATTCAAAATATTTACAGATTTCTTCTAATTTAATAACACAAACTCACATTTTTTTTGCACAATATTTATTGAAATTTTACTATTTATCTTAAAAATGTAATGAAATACATAATAGTATAAAAAAATATTTATCAATTGCACTTTTCTTGTCCTATGTTGGACGTTGTTGTGTCTTTTAAATGTTATTGCTGTTTAGTGAATGCGCTACGTGTACAGCGATACGCAGTACAACTCAATTACACAGAGTGAAAAATAAATATAAAATACAAAACCAAAAACTACAATATTGAGCGTTAATCAACGAAAAACAACAAACCAATAAGAAGAAAACCACTAAAATGTATAACGAAAACAACGGCACCTACACGACTCATTTACTACACCCCGCCAAAGTTAAAAACACAAAAACAAAACCAACAAAGATTGAGAACAAACTCACACAACTATAATTGTTGACGTTTTTTTTTCTGCTTGAACTTGATGGGATTTTTTTTGTTTACTTTTAAACATAAAAAAGCACTATTATTTTAATCTATGAAATTGCACTTTTTTTAATATTTGTTACTTTTTAATTAACTTCTTTGTTAAAAAAATCGTTCCACAGAATATTTTCACTTTTCCCCTATTTAAAAAAAAAACAAAATTCTACTCAATCGCACTCACACCACTACAGACAGTATGCTCTTTTGTCTATTCCATTTTATTATTTTTTCAATTGTTGCTTTGTTTTTCCATTTATTTTATTAGCAATCAGCTGATGAGTATATTTTTGTATATATTTATTTTTTCTTAATCAAAATCAAAAAAAGTTTTGTTATTTACAAACAAAGTTTATTTATATATTAATGCTTCGGGTTTTCTTTTATTTTTTTAATAGTTAGCAATATTTTTTTAAATATTTTAATTTTAGTTTGAAGAAAAATATTTATTTTTAACTTACAGCTCTGTTGATATGTTGATGATGTCAAATTTAATTCAACTCTAATGAAATAAAAAAAAATTGCAAAGCAATTCACTTCACAAATTCAATGAACGAACGCATACAAAATCTGCTTGTCTCTTTTCTGCACTTGAATTAAAACAAAAGAGTTGCCAAGTTTTAATAGTAATTAATTTTGTTTCAAGAGCTTTCAATAGCTTTAAAATAAAGAATATTATAAGTCCCATCACAAATTCCAAAATTATTCCGATAATTTCTGTATAGATTTTCCAACTTCAAAATATGTACAGTGAGACAAAAAATCTAATATAGAAATACCTGGGAAGTGGTACTACTTGTCTGATAAGTATTATCGAGTACAATTTGAATCTGTTTTTTGAAATTTGCCAAACACCTCCAAAATCTTGAGATATGGGTAAAAAACGGATTTCCGGATTTAGAAAGAAGAAGAAGCTGTGGCTTTATAACATGTATATGACGTTTAAATAATCTGGAGAAAAATGTGTACATTTCATCAGCAAACATACACATTTTTGATTTTAGTTATGCAACGTTTTCCCAGCGCAGAAGTATCAAATCAATTATTAAGTTCATTAAAGAGATAATTTTGTTTTAATGAAATTTTCGCGACTGTCAAAAATTACATATAGAGGGCCAACGAACGGATAAACAAACGAAATAATAAGGGTTTTCATTTAAACGCTTAAGTTTCCCATTTGTGCAAGTGGGCAAGTTTATTCGACTTGTTTCATGAAACCCCTGTTCAAATTCTGTTCAATTACAATATTTATAAACATTTTACAGCAATGTCAAACGATTTTAACAAAAAATTTTACAAAATATGTTAAAAATGTGAATATTTAAGTCTATAATTTCAAAAGTGAACAATAGTGAACAGATTTATTAAATGCACAATGAGTTTGCTCAAGTTTGCCAGTCTAAATAGTCGCTCAAACTTATAAGGGTTGTGCAAATCAATTTTCATACAATTCAATTGCGAGAATGGAAACATGCACAGGTTGCACAGTTAACGAGGGTTTTGAACGTTTAAATGAAAACCCTTAATATTTATTATATAAAGAAATTCAAAGGTTTAAAGGTTTTACATCTACATGTTTTCTGTTGGTTAACTAACATATGCAAATTTCACTGTAGGATACTAAGTTCAGTTAAAATTTTCCGATGATAAAGATATGATAATAGAATTAATAATCTTGAAAACTCCTGCAAAATTTGTGCTGCGCTGAATTTTTAAACTTATAGTAGGAGAGACGTATACATTTTGCGCTGAAATTCTTCACATCAGGTTTTCAAGATACATATCGCATTTTTGAATTATTTGAGTGAATTTTAAAAACTTTAAAATTAAGCCCTACTTGGTAGAAATAAAACAAATTTTTAAGAAAAGCATACTCTAAGGGATTTGAGGAATGACCAATGAATGTCGCACTAAGCATTTTTAACAAGTTTATACTTTACTTAATTTTTGAACAGCTTGTTGTCAAGGATTTTCACAAAACTCACACATATTTGAAATTCTTGGTAAATGCACTTCAAAGGCTTTGTAGAAGTATCGGAATAACTTGGTCTCGGCAGTATGGAGATCCGCTGGATTCTATAAATCTCCTAAGAGACAAAATACTTTCATTTTTTCATAATTTTTTTTTTTTTTTTTTTTTGATAGACTAAAGTATGTTTTCGTTGGCAACCCTATATAATGAACTGACATTCTATTAGCTTAACGAAAGAGAGAAATAAATATACATATTTAAAATGAGTGCAACACTTTGCTAATTCAATATACACAAATAGGTATACAAATGTATATGTAGGTATGTTTGTGTTTTTATTTTTTGCAATTTATGACTGTTTGTATGTGTTAATTTGTTTTTATTTTACCAAAAACACAATTTTACGACATATTTAATGTTTGTTGTTATGTTTACTATAACGTTATATTAAAATGAGATTCAAATTTAAAAAGGGGCTGGGGCGCACTTAAATACAAAAACAAACAGACAGGACAAAGGGAAAAACTATCGCCACTAGTGAGAAATAATATGTACCTATAATTGGTAGGTGTGGGTTCAGATAGAGTGCATTTCATGTCGACGTATTTGTGTATGAATATAAAGAAGAAGAACACCAAATGTACCGTACATGTAAGTATGTACATATGTATTTGTTTATGTTTATAAATTCACTGTGGTATTGTTTTGTTTTCGTTTTAACAACAAAAAAGCTCACAAATTTTCAAGGTCGCAAGGCACGTCAAGAACAAACATACAATACTACAAACACATAGATAATAGGTACCTACAAATGCAAAACACTTTGAAAGAAGTTCATTTGCATGTACTATAGTTGTCTAACTGTTTTTTGATTTTCTCTATTTGATTGTCTAGTCATGCCTCCCACTCCCCCTACCCCTTTTATCAAACTCCTGTACCGTTACAATCATTGTTGCTGCCTATGTTTAGTTTGTTGTGTGTGTGCGTGCATACAATTTGTACTCAATAGCTTTGAATGTCGGTTTGTCGGTCATTTAACATCGTGTCTGTATATCTGTCTGTCCGTCTTTCTCTGCCTGTGTTTTTGTTTGTATAGCACAGAGGCAGCGCGTTCTTTTTCAGGGTCATGAAAATTCGATTTTTTATTATTGTCCTCCGTTGTTCTTCATCTTTTTTTTAATGTAGTCACAGAATAAAACAAAAAAGAAATTCAAATAAATACTGAAATACAGAGAGAATTTTATGCAGAACTTTAAGCAAAACAAAAAAAAAACTAGTATGTAATAATGCAAAAGAGTGTTTTGTTTGATTGTTTTTGTTTTTCACTTTTATTTAATTGCTTGTTTGCTTTGTATTCACATATATTTTTTAAATGGTTTTTCAGGTGATTTGTTTTAAAATTATTTTTTTTTTGTTCTCTACAACAAAAAGTGTGCTGCTGTTTGCGTACAGACAGACGAAATGACACGTTCAATGCAACAATATATAAAAGACGGAAATAAAACTGCGGTCAAAGACATTTTAAGATATGTATGTATGTTTGCATACATATGTATGTGTATGTATTTAGTACATATGTAAATTAATTTATACAATGTATTTAGTATATAGTGCTGTTTCTTATTGTAATGTGCAATTTAAAAATACTTGTTTATTATTTTAAAAATAAATTTGTTTGTACATATGTAAATATTTTATATATTAAGGTGGTAACAAGTTTTTGCAATGATTTCACAAAACATACAAACATACGTAGGTATGTACATTAGGGTGTCCACGTTTGTATGGTGAAAAAGAAGGTATGTACTGATTTTCCCACCGAAAAAGCTTGGTTGTCCGGCTATCACTATTTGGTGAGCTGGGTCAAAGAATACAAATGTAAGTTATTAAGAGCTATGTACCTCTAGTCTGCAGGAGCTATAAAATGGTGGTGTCAAATAAATCCTCGGCCTGGGGTCGAACCAGAGTGCCGCATAATTTGGTACCACCTGAACTGGTAGCCTACAGGACAGAGTTTGTCCCGGTTAATGGAAAGGATTCTTTTGTGTAAACTCGAGGGAGAGAGTTTTGGACTAGTTCGGTGCTATTGCCGAAAAAACAACATATACCCCGTAGAGGATTGACTTAACATCAAGTGTACATATGTATATGATACGGGCATGGAAAATTCAGTACTTTAGTACTTTTTTCAGTATTTTACCACGGTACCCCACGACATTTTCGGTACTTTTTCTAACTTATAAACTTTTGATAAATAGTAAATAAGCCAGTTTTTAGTCTTTTCTAGCCTATAATTTATTATCTAGTCTATAATCTAGTATGTAGGCTAGTCTTTAGTCTCGTCTATAGTCTAGTCCACATGTAATTAGTAGTCTAGCGTAAGATTAGTTTAGAACTTTGAAACCTAAAAAATAACTCTTTTTATTATAAGTTAGTACTATTTCAAAATATGATGGATTCGTATTTCGGTCTACCGATTACGTCTTTAGGTACTGTTGCCTAATCAACACAGACCATCCCATCTGCGTGGTTGTAAACGGAAGTGTGCATTTGATCGGTACCTAATTTAAATAATTTTCTACTTAATTAGGACTAAGATGCACAACATGACATTATCGCACTGCTCATGACGTCATCATATAAAAAGGTATGAGATGACGAATTATATACATAGTAGCAACACTTTCGAATTAGAATAATAGCAAGAGAAGACTGACGACGCGATCTCAGTCTACACAATCGGTTCATAAACTGTTTAAGATAATGGATTTATTTTTTATTATATGAGACGATTGCGAGAAAAATCGGAATACCTATTAAATATCGACCAGTTGACCATTATTATCTACTCGAATAGTATGGAAATGTCTTCTGAATTTACTCTCTCTCTCTCTCTCTCTCAACTCAGAGGATCTTTACGCACTTGATTTACTTTTTAACAGAAATTTGATTAGTAACTGCAACTAATTAATGTTTACGCAGGGTAAATCATTAGTACATTACAAATATTGCTTTTATAGGTATATTATGCATACTAATACTAAGAAATATGTATATTAATTTTATTTCTATAAATTTGCACTAAATAAAATAATAAACATTGTTTTTGAATGTATGTATGTTTATACATATATAAATATGTGTGTATATTTAAACACAAATACATAAGAATAAAATTATATATATATTTAAAAGATAAATAAATCTAATGCATTGATTAGAGTACAACAACCTTTTTCAGAAATTTAAACAAACACTCGTGCATACAATAAATACACATAAGCAAAACAAAAATATATATTTCATAATAGAATTGAAAGTAAAGAAAGATAACAACAACACTAATGCGCAGTTTATAATTAATGCTATTTTAATTTTTTTTTTTTAAATTATGATTATTTACTAATTTTTGCACGTAGCAACAAACTTTAATAATAAATATTAGTAGCGTTGCTTAAGATGATCATGAATTTAGGTTTGAGATACACAGAAAAAAATCATACATACATACCTATATACTGTATGATCTTGCATAATTTATTATTTAAATAAAAATATATGTACCTTACTTAAAAAATACAAAATTTTAAGAATTATTTCTAAAAAAAACAAGAGAAAATGCAATTAACTCTGTTCAATTTGAAAAATCTGTAGACATATTTAATCTGTCTTTTAAAAAAAACTATAAATGTCACAATTTATAATTACTTTTTTATTTTTATTATATTATTCATGTGGTCAAGAAAGTATTCTCATTTTTACTTAATACAAATAGATAAATTATAATAGAAAATACTTCCACCATAACATTGTAGAAGTATGGTAACCATATACAGTATTAATCGAAACCTATGCAAATTTGCCAGCCTATTCTATAATTACACAGGCCAAAAGATTTTAAAAAAGTTGAAACCCAGAAATTAATTTATTCTTCTATAAAGGATTGAGCCGCGCTGAATCCGAATCACATCAGGATTGCAAATTATAGTGTCATATAAATTGAGACGTTATAACATCGCGAACGCATCTTTCTTTATAAAACATGTTATGTCGTCTAAAAGCTCAATCTGCCCACTATAAAATATAAGTTCAAGGTTCTGTAATTTCTACTTAATATTTCGAAGTAAGAAGCAACTGTAAATAACAAAAAAATAGATATTGCATGTAATTTACGTCTGAAATTTCAACAGACAATACCTCACCAAATACAAAAGATGTTGAAATAATTCAAAAAGTATTTTATCAAAACATTTAAAAGAAATTGTGACATATTTGTATAAAATAAAAGCGAAATATAGTTAAATATTAAGTTTTTGGTTATTTATGGTTGCTTTATGTTTTAGGTTAAAATATCTCGAAGAAGCAAGGAGATATATTAGAGGTTAAACCTATATAGTAAAATTGAAAGATTGGTCTTTCAAATGACACAACTAATTTAAAAAATATGTATTCGCGCTGTTATCACGTCTCCAATATGTCCAATAACTTGTTATTTTCGAGATAAAGGACACCATATCTTGAAAACCTTATGTAATGAGTTAAAAATTATTATATTATCAGATCTATAACAGAATTCCATTCTGATCGAAAGTGGCATTGTTTTTAGTAAAGCAAGAATACTTTCGATCGGAATGAAATTCTGTCGGCCTGTACATCTAATAATAACAAAAAAGTTAAATTCCGTTTTTACCACGTAACAGACACGAATTCCTTAGAGAACCGTTCCGTCGTTTTTAAGCGTATGGTCGCATCTTTTGGTTTAAAAAATAAGTTATTTATAAAGTAAATAAATTTAACAATATGTAATTACATTTCTCGTAGATGGTTTTCATGAATGAATCTTTAAAAGGGAAGTTTTTGATAGTTTTTCGTTTTACAAATAGTACTTTTGTTTTGAACAATACTGTGGTTGGTAAATCGTATTGTTTTGTGGTCATTTACGTTTTAGTCATAATTAGAATATGAACCAAACATTGAAAAAAATAACAATTTATCACATTTGTAAAGTGTTAAAAACCTATAAATTTTAACAAAATAGAAAAATATTGTGTTTTAAAAAGTTGTGATAATTTTGTTTACCACAAATTAAAAATTTTAGTCAAATTAATAACCATTGCCGCATTAGTTATGATGATTTTTCGATTATTCATTTAAGTAAAATTAAAATTTCATTTTTGCAGTTTATGAAAAGTCAACTTCTTCACTTAAATAAAAGTCGATTTTCCGACTCAGATTTTAATAATTTTTTATATAAATTTATTCCGACTATTAATCGACGTATCGACTTTTTGTCGAAAAAAAGTAGAAAATTCATATTAAAAAAGTTCGAAAATTTGAAAATTGTAAAATTGAAAAAAGTCAAAAAGTTAACTTTTCATAAATGGCAAAGTCTAAATATCGAAAAGTCGACTTTTCACAATTTAAAAAAAAGTCGAAAAGTAGCCCTTTGTTTCACCTATAACACCTTACTAGCTTCTCCTGTATAGATTATATTATTATGTTTTCAACAGATGGACATGGTAAGATCGTCTTTAGAACCTATAAAAATGGTCACAAATTGGAATACAAATTTATGGTAAAGGTTTTAATAAAAAAATTCCCTACTAAATATAGATTAGAAAAGAAAGTTTTCGTTATCTACTTGTTAAAACTATGGACAATATGTAACGGGCATCGAGAAAGCTTTATATTAATAAAGCTTATATTCCACATTAAGTTGAAATGGTAACTCTGAAATATATATAAATATCCCCCTTCATAGAATAAGGGAATTAACCGAAATAATATTAAATAAAATGGCGAAATTTATTTACATACGTACTTGCACTTGTAGCGTATGTATGTATGTATGTATATATGAGTGTTCATATAACTACAATTTAAAAATGGCGTTATATTACGAAATTGATCGGTAACAATATTAATAATGGTGATAAAAAATATTAAGCAAGTGTATCTTTTTTAAATATTTATATCTCGCACACACACACACTTATTAACTAGATACAGTAAGTTAATTGTTTAATAATTTAGAACATGACACTTACTGCAAACTCCTAGAATAATTCGTTTTTAAGTCAATCATTTTCAGTTTTCAATTAAAGCTGTTTTTTAATTCATTTATTATTTACTTTTTAGGAAACACAAGAATTTAAATTCGATTTTGTTTTTTGTTATTGTTGGATTTTTTTTTTTTTCTTAATAAATACTATGTATCAACAATATATGTTTGTATCAATAGGGGAGAGATAACAAATGATGGAATTAAAAAAATAAAAAAAGAACTCAATGAGAATATTGCACACATAAATAATTTAAATTAACAAAAAAAATATATAACTTGATTTGTGTGAATTTTTTCTTTTATTTTTTTAAATTATTTTGTTAAAAACAACAAACACGAAATAAAAATTGCAATAAGTACTTAATTGTTGTTGTTTTATCTATAATGTTAAAATATTTACCCAAAAACAATAAGAAAAATATATACTGCAGGTGTAGTTGTTGTTATTTTTTTCAATTGGTTCGCCTTTTTGTCTTTATTTGTTAGATTTTTGAAAGAAAGTTTTTAAAGTAAAAATAATGAATTACTTTTTGGAAAATTTTTACAAATTTTAAGAACACTTTTAATAATTTACTTGAATATTTTTTTGATTAATTTTAATATTAGAAAATTAATTTTTTAATAAAAAATAACTGAACGCAACAAAAACACTGTGACAAGTAGAAAATATACAAACGTATTAAAAAATAACGAAAATAGCAATCATCTGTAAACAGCCAACGTCAACAAAAATGTCAGGGTTGGGTATGTTGTATGACTGGGAAGAAAAATGTTTAAAGAAAACAGAAAAATTGTGGAAAAGTGTTTTAACTACATTTTGATGAACTTTTCTATAGAAAGTAAATCAAACTGTAATGAACTTTTCTATAGAAAAAGTTCTTAAAGTGTAACTAAATTTTCCATAGAAAAGTTCATGAAATTCTAATGATCAAATGTGTCAACAGTAATGAACTTTTTAATGGAAAAGTTAATTAAACTATAATGAAATTTTCTATAGAAAAGATAATCAGATTGTGATGAACAGTTTGATGAACTTTTCAATAGATAATTTTATTAAACTTAGATGAACTTTTCTATAGAAAAGTTGATAAAACTGTAATGAACTTTCCTATAAAAAGTTTATCAAAGTTGTGATGGACTTTTCTATAGAAAAGTTTATCAAACTGCAATGAACTTTTCTGTAGAAAAGTTGATAAAATTGTGATGACATTTCTATAGAAAAGTTGATCAAATTGTTAAGAACTTTCCTATAAAAAATAAAAAAAAAAATATTATTTAATATTTAGCAAATGGAAATCTCCCAACTCTGGACAAAAAAAGTTAAACAAAAATAAACTTAAAGATACAAAATAAACGAAGTGACCAGCTGTTTAATGCATTTGTGTGAGTTTATGCAATAACAACAAAATTGTATAATGGCAAAAAACGTAAACAAACTTAATTAAAAGAGAAAAAGCAAAATAAAAAGGAATATGAAAAAATGTATTCTATAGATAAATATTTTAAAACTTTTTTAGAGAATCATAAAATAAATAAACTTATTAATTATAAGTTTAAAATTGCAAAATTATAAAAAAAATCTTTATTTTACTATTTAATAAAAAACAAATTTCTAGAAGGAAATTCGTATTTTGAATTAATGCATAAAAAGCAGTTAAATAAAGAGAGAGATAGAGAGAGCGACAGAAAAATAAATTGAATGTAAACAAAATAATAGAAAAGCAAAGTTTTTCAACAAATAAATTGATTTGTTAAATTAAAGTAGTTGACAGTATTAAGTTTTTAAACTTATTTTTTTAAGTTAAAATAAATTTTTAATTAAAATTTAAATAATATTCTTTACATATTTTATTTTTTATTAAAAATTTTTTTATTTAAATATTAAATTTAAAAATGGCTACTAAATTTTCTACGTTGTTGTTTTTAATTTTTAACTCTCTTTTTCTCAAGAGAGTTTCAGTGGATCAGCTGTAAAAATGCATTAATATTTGTGAGTAGTATCTGTGAGTTTTGCTTTATTCCCTCCTCTTTGAAGTTCATCTGTGTTAAATTTGTTTATTTATTTATACGAGCGTTTTGTTGTAGTTGTTTTTATTATTATTTATGTTTAAAAATAACTTTTTGTTTTTGTCACACTAATAAATTTTTAAATGAAAACAAAACAAAAAGAAACATTCGTTCATAAGTATGTACATACCAGTATGATAACGGACAATAAAATAAATGATATGTTTAATATGGCTTGTTTAAGTATGTAAATAGATTTAAACAATAAATATTTATCAAAATTCTTTAAAAAATTACACCCTTTTCTTATTTTCATTTATGCATATTATGTTTATTCATCTTTATTAACGCCTTTTAAAAAGATTGAAATTTTTTGTTAATAAGTTCCAGGAAAATTTGTAAATTTTTGATTGAAATTTGTCTAGTCTATAGTCTAGTCTATAGTATAGTCTATAGTCTAGTCTAAAGTCTAGTCTATAGTCTAGTCTATAGTCTAGTCTATAGTCTAGTCTATAGTCTAGTCTAGTCTAGTCTAGTAGTCTATAGTCTAGTCTATAGTCTAGTCTATAGTCTAGTCTATAGTCTAGTCTATAGTCTAGTCTATAGTCTAGTCTATAGTCTAGTCTATAGTCTAGTCTATAGTCTAGTCTATAGTCTAGTCTATAGTCTAGTCTATAGTCTAGTCTATAGTCTAGTCTATAGTCTAGTCTATAGTCTAGTCTATAGTCTAGTCTATAGTCTAGTCTATAGTCTAGTCTATAGTCTAGTCTATAGTCTAGTCTATAGTCTAGTCTATAGTCTAGTCTATAGTCTAGTCTATAGTCTAGTCTATAGTCTAGTCTATAGTCTAGTCTATAGTCTAGTCTATAGTCTAGTCTATAGTCTAGTCTATAGTCTAGTCTATAGTCTAGTCTATAGTCTAGTCTATAGTCTAGTCTATAGTCTAGTCTATAGTCTAGTCTATAGTCTAGTCTATAGTCTAGTCTATAGTCTAGTCTATAGTCTAGTCTATAGTCTAGTCTATAGTCTAGTCTATAGTCTAGTCTATAGTCTAGTCTATAGTCTAGTCTATAGTCTAGTCTATAGTCTAGTCTATAGTCTAGTCTATAGTCTAGTCTATAGTCTAGTCTATAGTCTAGTCTATAGTCTAGTCTATAGTCTAGTCTATAGTCTAGTCTATAGTCTAGTCTATAGTCTAGTCTATAGTCTAGTCTATAGTCTAGTCTATAGTCTAGTCTATAGTCTAGTCTATAGTCTAGTCTATAGTCTAGTCTATAGTCTAGTCTATAGTCTAGTCTATAGTCTAGTCTATAGTCTAGTCTATAGTCTAGTCTATAGTCTAGTCTATAGTCTAGTCTATAGTCTAGTCTATAGTCTAGTCTATAGTCTAGTCTATAGTCTAGTCTATAGTCTAGTCTATAGTCTAGTCTATAGTCTAGTCTATAGTCTAGTCTATAGTCTAGTCTATAGTCTAGTCTATAGTCTAGTCTATAGTCTAGTCTATAGTCTAGTCTATAGTCTAGTCTAGTCTAGTCTATAGTCTAGTCTATAGTCTAGTCTATAGTCTAGTCTATAGTCTAGCCTATAGTCTAGTCTATAGTCTAGTCTATAGTCTAGTCTATAGTCTAGTCTATAGTCTAGCCTATAGTCTAGTCTATAGTCCAGTCTATAGTCTAGTCTATAGTCTAGTCTATAGTCTAGTCTATAGTCTAGTCTATAGTCTAGTCTATAGTCTAGTCTATAGTCTAGTCTATAGTCTAGTCTATAGTCTATAGTCTAGTCTACACTCTAGTCTATAGAGATTTTAAAATCAGGTGCTCATTCGATTACGAATGAAGTAATTCGACCTGGGAACTCAGGTTTTTTGTCAGCTTAACAATTTTACCGGCATTATATCAGGGTTTTCGAAATATTTTATCCAAGTATCAGAAAAAACCGTTTTCGCTATACTTACTTACGCTATAGTTACTTTGGTCTTTGGTTTAAAATTTCTAATCTAGGGTAATTAGTTGCGTAGAGTGAACAGAGAGAGAAATTGAAATTAATTGAAAATGCTTCTATGGACAGTACGATTAAAAAGCTACGGTTATAAGAAACCAGTCTCTTACTTTCTATAGAACACATTCAATTATAGTATAACTACGAAACAAAGTAAACACTGCAACGGTTCTTTCTCCAGGGGAAAGAAATCAATAAACACTCAAACGTATGCCATTAGTCTAGAAACTGTTTTATATGTTTTTACCTAAAATTCATATTATTTCGATAAAAATTTAATATTTCACTTGAAATTCCGATTTTCACTTAAAATTCTTAATTTAAACAAAAAATCGATTTCGATTTGTATACATAAAAATCGAATGTTTACGCAAAAAATATGAATTTTCAATAGAATTTCGATTTTTCATTAAAAATTAGAATTTTTACTAAAATTTAAATTTTCAATGAAGAAAATCCATTTTTTACAAGAAATTAGTATTCTGAATTTTTACTAAAAGTTCTAATTATACACTAAAAATTCTAATTATTCACTAAAAATTATAATTTTTATCAAAATTACGAAATTTTAATTTTGGCGAGCATGGAAAGATGTTATTTTTAAATAAAAAAATAAAATAAAGAAAAATGAAATTAAAAAACTTACGGCATTTGCTTACATCTAGTTGAAATTTGAATATGATTATTTCTCGAATGCACCTTACTGCTTTCCTTAACGTTTTAAGACATTAATAAAAGTTTCATGTGGCACACGAATATTGGCAAATTGACGCATTTTCTTTTTGCCTTCAGCCTGCTGTTTAAGTAGTTTCATACGTCTTGTTACATCGCCACCATACTGAAAATAAAATAAATATTTTAATAAAAGAATAATAAAAGAATCTTAATACATCCTACCAATTTAGCGGTAACATCCTTTCGATAAGCTTTAATGGTTTCTCTAGCCAAAACCTTACTACCCACACATGCCTGTATGGCAATTTGTACCATTTGTTTGGGTATCATTTCTTTAAGTTTAGCTGTCATATCACGTCCAACATCTTTGGCTTTTGTAACGTGAACTATGCGGCACAATTCTTCTACCGGTTTGCCATTTAGATGTATATCTAAACGCACCAAATTTGTTAAATGATAACCATAATCTTCATAATTAAAACTAGCATAACCGGAACTTAAAGATTTCAGATGATCATTAAAATCTAATATAATTTCACTTAAAGGCAGTATATAATTCATAAGCATGCGATCATTATCGATATTAATGGAACTCTCCTGGACACCTCTACGTTCGACACATAAACTTATGATTTGGCCCACAAATTCATTGGGTGTTATAATTGTACCCTTTACCAAGGGCTCATAATATTCTTTGATATTTATAGGTTCAGGAAACAGGGCAGCATTAGATATTTCCATTGTATCAGTGCCCATTTGTCTAATCATTTTGGGATTTTTCAATACCACACGATACGTTACCGATGGTGCTGTTATTATGGGCTCAGCACCAAACTCCTGTTCTAAACGTTGACAAAATACTTCCATATGTAGGAGACCCAAGAAACCCAAACGCCAACCTTGTCCTAAAGCTGGACTGGAATCAACTTTCATAGTAACAGCTGAATCATTTAGAATTAATTTGTCAATGGCACCACGCAAGGCAACATGTTTGGACTGATCGGATGGAAATATACCAGCATAAACCATGGGTTGTTGAGGTTTGAAAGTTCCTACAGCATCACATTTCTCGTTTTTTAAATGTATTGTATCACCTATGATCGATTCTTTGCTGTTGCGCATGTTGCAGGCGATTAGGCCAACTTGACCAGCAGCACTTTAAAAATCGTCAATATGAGTATGTTTTAAATTTTCAATATTATCTTATAAAATACTTACATGCAAGGGAGTTCAGTTTCGGCTGGTCTTAACAAAGATATACTTTTAATTGGATACACTTTTTTCGTATTCAAGGATTGAATTTCTTGACCAACTTCTAGTTTTCCATTTAAAACATAAATTAAATTTAAAGCTCCCCGATAGCGATCAAACCAACTATCAAATAAAAGAGCACGAAATGTTGAATTGCGATCTACCTTTGGAGGAGGAATTACTTCAATCACTCTATCTAAAACAGCAGGAACACCAGTACCAAGTTTAGCAGAAACCTATAAAAAAGTACTTTTGAATTTGTTCAAGTCTGTTTTTTAATGATAAACTCTTTACTTTCTACAAGTTTTCTATAGAAAAGAAATTTGAGCATCTTTTTTCTGTAGAAAAGTTCATTACAATTTGATCAACTTTTCCATAGAAAAGTTCATTACAATTTCATGAACGTGTCTACTTTATTAACTTTTTTATAGAAAAGTGTAACACAATTTGCTCAACTTTTCTGCAGAAAAGTTCATAACAATTTAATCCACTTTTTTGGTGGAATGTTCATCATAATTTTATAAATTTTTCTATAGAAATCTTCATCACAATTTAATAATATTAAAGAAAGAAATATTCATCACAATTTGATAAACTGTTTCACAGAAAAGTTCATCACAATTTGATCAGCTTTTCTATTTCATCACAATTTGATCCATCACAATTTTATAATACCTTCAAAACTTCATCTGTTTCAATATTGAATAAGTTTTTCAAATCTTTGCAAACTCTCTCCGGATTAGCATGTTTGATATCGATTTTATTGAGTACTGGTACCACAGCCAAATTACGTGTTTTAGCCAAATGATAGTTGGCCACCGTTTGAGCTTGTACACCATGACAGGCATCGACCAATAAAATAACACCATCACATGCCGCCAATGACCGTGAGACTTCATTCGAAAAGTCCACATGCCCAGGAGTATCAATTAAATTTAATAAATACTTGACATTTTTATAAGTATGAAATATGGATACAGTTTGTGCCTTCACCGTTATGCCACGCTCCTTTTCAACTTGTAAACTGTCCAATACCTGATTACCGGAGTTACGTGATATGGCGCCAGTCAGTTCTAACAAACGATCGGCTAATGTACTTTTGCCATGATCCACATGTGCAATAATACTAAAGTTTCGTATATGTTCCACTGGTATATTGGCAAAATTATTTAGTTTTTCATCGTTGGATTCGTTAGTGGAATTTTCATTATTGGCCTTGGTAGTAGCAAAACGTGTTGTTGTATGCAGTCTAAACTTGATCAATACAGAGTATTACGTGAGTGAATATTTGTTAATTGATCAATTGCAAACACTTACTTTAACTGATAATGTCTATTATTGAATCGCCACAATGTTATTCGAAATGTTTTTAACATTTTATGTTTTTTTATTGTTTGTTTTTAGGAGAAATTGAATTTATAACTTTTTCTACTCCATGCCGGTATTTTTGGCAGATGACAATGCAGTGTTGACAACTTTATGAAAAGAAAAAGTATCACACTTACTTTAAAATGTAAGTTGGCGTAAGAACAAAATTCAGATAAATGCTGAAATATTCATAATAATTATATTTTTAAAATATTTTAAAGTTAAGAAATGTTTGTATTTATTAAAAATAATTCTAAAATTATAAAAACTATCGTAATGAATAGAAATGCATTTAATTTTTTTTTGTTTTAGCACCACTTAGTTGACATCATTGTATGTTGCATATGTTTTTCGCTTGTTCTTTTTAATGTGTAAAGATTTGTGAAATGATATCTTATAAAACAATAACAAAGTTAACAGTAAATTGCTACACTGAAATTAAAAGAAATTTGTCTATAATACATGTATGTTTTAAATAAATTATTAAATTTAGAATATAGCAATTAAACCATATATCAAATAAAAATGGACGAAATACTGAATTGCGATCTTGGATAGATGAATTATTTCAATCACTCTAAAAAAGCTGGAACAATAGTTTAGTTGAAACCTGAGGGACAATTTTAAGAGTTTGATAAAAGTTTCTATAGGAAAGTTCATCGGTGTTTGATCAAGTTTACTATAGAAAATTTCATCATAATGTAATCAACTTTTCTATAAAAAGTTCAACACTATTTTACATCCCAATTTGATCAACTTTTCTATAGAGAAGTTCATTACAATTTAATCATCTTTTTATAGAAAAATTTAGCAGAGTTTGACCAACGTTCTATTGAAAAGTTTAACAAAGGGATAACATTTCTATAGAAGAAAATTAAAGCCCAATTCTGATTAACTATTTTCCAAGAAGTTTTTTCCTTCCTGGAAATTTTTACTCCAAATCGTGCTGTATGAATTTTGTACCATTAAAGACATTTTTCTCGCTTAAGAAATTTTGGATTACAAAAAAATATATTTTAACTTAATAAAACAACTAACAAGTACTTTTACAGAAATTACTATTTAATCCCATGATTCCTTAACTTTCAAATGATTTAAGCGATCCTCCAGGGTTACATGTGGTTTTAATTTTTTCATTGTTTTTGCATCATTCCACATGTTAATTTTTGCTTCAGATTTCTTTAAATCCTTAACATGGCCAAAAGATTCTTCCTGTAAAGTTAAGATATTAATTTAAAAATAGATATTTCCTTTGGCTAATTCCACAATTCTACTTACAACAGTCAAATAGGGATGCCTCAAGAGTAACATTGTTTTCTCTTGACGTTGGTATTCACGTTCAAGTGTTTCCATGGCTTTCTTACTAACAGGCTTAACTAAACGTCTCTTGCCACGAAATATATGACCGGGTACAGTGTCTTTGAAAAGATTTATTAATGTTAAACGCATTTTTTCTTAGTTTTTATTGAAAATTCCGAGGATTTATGTAAACAAATTTGTTCGATTTGTGAAGTTGCGTGAATCTTGCTAAAAAAAAATTGCTATAAATTTGACAGCTAAAAATAGTGGGAAATTTTGTAACAGCTGTTTTTCATTTTAAGGTATGTTCAGTTGGTGAAAATAAAATATTGCTTAAAGTTGCCATATTTATTAAAAGAAAAATTTTGGGTTTATATAGTTTTTTCGAATATATTCAATAAAATTCATAATATACATAAGTATGAGTCATCGAAATTATTTATTATAAGAATACTGTTCAATTATTGATATATAAAAATAATTAAGCAATAAATAATGCTATAAATAAGTATGTAGATTATTTTCAGATTCATATAAAACTAAAGCATTTATTCAAAATGTAAAGTGCTTGGTTTATAAGCCCAATTATTTTTTTCAGCAGACCTTGTTAATTTTATTTTTCTCATTTACCTATTTTATTTCGTTAATTAAAATTAATGGATTTTTTAAATTGATCTTATATACATATGTACATAATGCATATACAAAATACATAATGCATATACAAAATACATAAATGTACATCATACCCATTTCTTTCCACATTTTTATATTTAAAATACTTTTGTCTCATACTGTATACAGTATACCTCTAGACGTTCACTATTTTACAAACTGCGCTTTGAGTTTTTCTAAGGAAAATTTCCAATGTGTTCAAAAAATGGCGTCTAAATACAACTACAAAATTACCAATCCCAGAACAACAACAGTTATTTAGTCAAATGGCGGGAAAATAAAAATATCCCACCACAACTATAGAAAAACAACTGTTAAAAAGTACATATGGTTTTTTTTCGAATGTGATCATGTAAAATGCTACCATATTATAATACTAAAGAAATTGTATTAAAAAATATCATACAAAATTAATTTTTAAGAAAACTTCATTAAGTGTAAAAATTTAAATATATACATACATACATATTTCTTAAATTTATTATTTCGGCAGATCATATTCAGAAATCATAAATTTACCGTTATTCAAGTGTAAATTTAAGCAAAATGTTTAAATATACGTAAAGCTTATTTTGATTCACCCAAATAATTTAATTAATTATTTAATTTAATACATTCTATAAATTCTCAGGAAAAATTATATTAGTTTCACAACTACAACTAGTTCTAAAACAAATACAAGACATGCATACTAGTTCTGTAGACTTCCTCAAACAAAAGTTACTCTAATTCTGATATACTTAGGTTCCGATTGCTTTTGCTATAAAAAACAGTCAAATTGTGTCTTTAGTGTTGAAAACAATAAAATCTAATTTTATATCTGATTACTTTTCGTGATAGAAAATTACTTTTTTTTAATAAATTAAAATGATATCTAACCCCCTGAAAACAAATTTACACGTTAAACAAGTAAGAATGTAGAGTTCGGCTTGGCCGACCATGTGATACTCTACATTAGTGAGTAGTATGTTAAATATATGGATTACTTTTATTATTTGACAAAAACGTGATTTTCTGAAAAAGAGGTTATACGATTCAGACTAAGAATCAGAAACTGATGCTGAGTCGATTGCTATACTTATGATGGGTGTATGACCAATAGTTTTTGCTATTACAAACATCAGTACAATTATAACACCCTCTCCCAGTGTAGGGTATAATTCCTAGTACCAAAAATAAATGATTTAGCGATTTTTCGAATATTTCCCAACACATATCTGGCAACCTGGAACAGTGATAGAGGGGATATTTTTTAAAATAGAAGTGAACAGCTGATCAACGTTTTTGTTGTATAAAGTGTTTTTTCTCTGTGTTTATATTATATTTTTTTTGTGTAGTTATAAAGAAGAAGGTCAAACAAAGCGATTTACAATTCTGTATAGAAGAAAACAAGAATAAAGTTAATAAAAAGATTTCTCATGGCCAGTGGTTCAAAAAATATAAATTACAAGACATTAAGCGACGAAGAAAATAAATTTGTAATACCCGAACATCATTTGCAGCAGCAGGAAGAGCAGCAGCAGAATGATAACGAAGCAACGAACAATGATGAGGACACTCCTCGAAATAGTGGTGTTCTTTTGCACACAGTACCCGAAATAAATCGTTCACGATGGAATCATATCGAGGATTTAGATTCATTTTTTACACGCATGTATCACTACCATCAAAAGCATGGTTTTGTGATAATTGTTCTGGACGAAATATTTCAACTGATACAGTTTGCCTTTGTCATTTGGCTCATCACCTTCACTGTGCACTGTATCAATCATGATATACTCTTTGGCAATGAGTTGCCAGCCAGCAATCATACGAAAATCTCAATATCTGATGTAATAATACCTATGGATGAGTGCGTAGATAATTTTGGAGGTTTAACCGTGTTGGTGCTATTTATTGCGTCGATTTATTTATTAATACGCAGTGTCAAAGTATTGTATCACTTGTGTCAATATTGGGATATTAAGAAATTCTATAATACTGCTTTGCACATAGACGATAGTAATTTGGACAATATCACTTGGCACGAAATTAAGAAAAAGGTAAGAGAAGTCCAGGCGGAGCAGCATATGTGTATAGATAAGGATCATTTGACTGATTTGGATATATATCACCGTATATTGAGATTTAAGAATTATTTGGTGGCTTTAATGAATAAAAATCTGCTGCCTGTACGTTTCAATGTGCCCTTGTGTGGAGAGATGGTTGTGCTTTCGAGGGGTTTGTTATTCAATATTGATTTAATATTGTTTCGCAGTCCAGGATCACCATTTCAAAATAATTGGCAGTTAAGAGATGACTACTCGATAAGAGGCAATCAGGTGGAGTTGGCAAAAAGATTGTCGAATCTAATTTTTTGGATAGCAATAGCTAATTTCCTATTAGCTCCTTTTATATTTGTGTGGCAATTAATCCTCTTCTCTTTTACCTATGCCGATATTCTAAAGAAAGAACCCGGGGCTTTTGGTATGCGCACTTGGTCCAACTATGGCCGCTTATATTTAAGGCATTTCAATGAATTGGATCATGAACTAGATGCCCGTCTTAATCGTGCTTACGAATATGCCAATCGTTATTTAAATTCTTTTTCGTCACCTCTAATGGCAGTATTAGCCAAAAATATATTATTTATCTCAGGTGGCATACTGTTGCTTCTTTTGGCTTTAGGTATCTACGATGAATATGTATTTCAAGTGGAACACATGCTAACCATTATGACAGTACTGTCGGTAATTGGTTTAATATGTCGAAATATGATACCGGATGAAAATATGATTTGGTGTCCGGAACAATTAATGACTGCCATTTTAGCTCATGTGCATTATTTACCCAGTAATTGGAAAAATCAGGCTCACACTTCCTTGGTTCAAAAAGAGTTTGGTAACTTCTTTCAATTTAAAGCTGCCTACTATCTTAACGAAATTATAAGTCCTCTTATAACACCCTTCCAACTGCTGTTTGTTTTTCGTCCTAAGGCTTTGGAAATTGTGAAGTTCTTTAGGAGCTTCACCGTATCTGTCAGGGGTGTGGGCAATGTGTGCTCTTTTGCTCAAATGGATGTTCGTAAACACGGCAATCCGGAATGGCAAATGGATGTATCTACCACCTCGCTTCATCAATCGGAGAACATGGCTGCCGCTACCACTAATGGCAAAACAGAATTGTCTCTTCTGCACTTTACCTTAACCAATCCCGAATGGCAAATGCCTCCCGAGGCGCTTGATTTTGTAAAAGCTGTTCGTCAAACCGCTTTAACCGATTTAAGCAAAGCTGTGGCTGTAGGTGGTGTAGCAGCAACCACCAAACAAAAGAGGGATTTTGCAAATCTCAATCCATTAACAGAAAGTCTTTTGTCATTTGGAAC